AAACAGCCAGACATAAAATTTGCAGCAAGCTGGAATCAAAATTTACAACAGCACGAGGTGATGTTATTTACAAATAGTAATAGTCCATGGTGGTGTTCATGAGTCTCAACCCGGGTATTCGGAAAGTCAAATCGCGATCCGGAGTATGTTATTTTTTAAAATTTCTGTGACGTCAAAATGCGTCATAAATCTGATCATCCGTACATTCGTACATGCAAATAAAATCGAGTTGTCGCTCGGCTATACATAACTCGGCCAACTGGAAACGGACTGGTGCGAGAAAAAACACATCGTCAAGAATAAGTGGCTGCCTACGGCATCAATGAAAATACTCTGACGTAGACATCTGAATCTGCATATAGAATGAGCTACACGTACAATAAATAGCTTGGTAGCAAATTCAGACGAACTTTATACAGTACGTATTTTTAAATAAATACACATATTTGTTGGACTGCTTATATGTTATAACCGTATCGAGAAGATCGAATCTGTAGGGAAACAGAGTAATCTCGCAATTTAAAGCGCGGTGGGGGGAAGAGTGGAAAGGTGTTGCATTAATTACTTAATTTCTAATTGAAGTGTATTACTGACCTTTAATAATTCGTGTGGCCAAAATAATTCACATTTTTCATAAGGCGATCCTTTCTCACGACCATTCTCTTGTTTCAAAAATCCTCTTAACTGGTCCGCGTAGCTCTCGTTTTTTTTTGGTTCATCGAGATTAATTTCTTGCACTCCGCTAGATTTATCTTTGTGATGGATCAACATTCTTCTGGTCTCTCCATAACGTATTTCGCACACAGTCGATGTCACTGCTTCTAGCCCCACAGGTAAAATATTTTCTCCCAGAATGAGGTTTATCAAGCTGCTTTTACCTGAACTTACTTCACCTGCACAATGGAAGAAAACGGTAATAAAATTGAGAAGGGGAATAAAGTTAGAACACGCGCCCGGGCTAAGTGTGTAATTTTCGCCAGCAATGTGATATGGGATGAGTCAACGCTTCATTTGCTATGATTGGCTAATGACTCTGCCATTTCCGTGGCAACAGAAGTAGTTTCCTGTTTCACATACGCTTGTCGTCGCGAACATTTTGCCCTTCTGTCAAATGAACTCTCGTGATTATTCAACTAAATTGACTGTAGGTATTTGCGTGACTTACCTAAACATTTTGCCATTGGCTTAAACTGACTGTTGTTATTATTATTTCACCAAATGGTCAAAGGGTCGTATTTCCGTGAGACATACATAATAGAAGAGAAGGATAGGCAACTCCATTGTCTCACAGCAAAAATTAACTTCATGTTGAAAGACAAAGACATGCCCTATATGGAAGTAAATTCTATGGACACGTCACGATAAAGCAACCCACCACGTGACGGTAAAGCGACTGATTAATTCAACCCAGTCGTTTCTATTGGATGAATGCCTCATTATACAGAAAATACAATGCCGTGAATGACT